GTTTTTATTTCAATCACTTTCCATCTTCAATCGTTTCTTTTAAAAAAGCGTGAAGTATTATAGCCATCATTCATTTTTACTGCAAGACATGCAACACGTATTTTTTTACTCTGCACTACACATCCACAGCAGCCCGCCGCACATCCACTACAGTCCACCACACAACCACTACACATCCAATACGTCACCGCTACAAAGTCACTACGACACCACTATCGTAGTGGAAAAAGTGTAGTGTAGTGTAGTGAAGTGTCGTTTTTTTCCCCCTTGTTCTGACGACAATCTTTATTGCTATATTTGTTCAGAAAACGTAATCGAAAAGCTGCGTTGTGCATGCGATAGTAAACAAAAAATATTTTACATTTTTTCGATATCCGATTCTAACTGAATTAAGTTAAGTCGATTTTATTGTTTTTCATGATATTTATCCTTTTTTTGATTTTTCATTACTATCTAGTTTGTCTTGATAAAGCCTGATACATACATTTTATCGAGATAAAAATGTCATTAACAGGATAAGCAGAATATCTTAATGTAACAGTCTGGCACGCTGTATCATAACAACGCATTTATTACGGTAAGATTACAAGCATGTGACTATCGGCACACATTGAGACTCATCCGTACCTGAATAAAAACAAGGTATGGGTTTCTATTGCGATAATAAATGAGTATATGTCGTTTTCGGTTATAACTTCAATGACTGTTATGAAATTTTACTTTTCTTGACAGTACTACTATTTTCAGGCTAATTTTTTATTAGTTATTTTCCAACGCAACAGAAACTTCGTAATAAAATTTCTTGTGTCTTCGGATAGAGCATGTGTTGAAGTATGTTGCTAACTATTTGAATCGTCGAAAAGTCAATTTTCATTATTTTACCTAATGTCCAGTTGACTATCCGCTATGTTACATATCAAAGTTCATGATCTAGGATACATCCATACTTAAAGCTCTATTTCATTTTGTATGATACTACTGTAATAGTTTTGTCATGTGGGTAGTTTACGTAGTACATTGCATCCTTTTCTGAAAAATGTACCAAGTCTAACAGAGACCGAAACGGGTCGGGTTGGGTCAATGTAAATAATACTGGTGCAGATCGGGTTGGGTTCGGATTGAGGTAAAAAATATTGGGGTCAAGGATATAAATAGTGGGGTCAAAGGAAAAAAATTTCCGGGTTTTACGGGTCTTGCCACTTGAAAATAAATCAGGGAATTTTCTTCGATCACGGTTCACTCATCTATTTTTCAACATGTACCTTTTTATCGGAAAAACAAGTAAGCCCCCCTCCCCATAATAGAAGACCACCTGGTCTTCTGTTCTGTCCTGCAAGTCGAGTTCTAAAGGGTGGTCTTCTATTGCGGTCAAATTTTGTCGCCTGCCAGTAGTCCAACGATAACTTCACGTACTTGAAGTCCGTCCCCTATTAGAAGTACGTTTTGGCGAAACTTTGTTGAAAATTCCCGTATAGGTAGGTATAGGGCATTTATCCGATTTTTTTCGCAGACTTAACAGAAGAAAAAGTACCAAATTTAAAAAGTTTTCATTTTTTAGCCTTTCCTATAACTTGCTTAGTTTTCTTGATTGAATTTCTGAAATTAAAGTTTAGGTATGATTTTGTAGAGAATTTCACCCCGCTTCAATTAAAAAAAGAATTTGCTCTAGAGCACCTAAGGAGCAGGAGTTAGAGCAAAATTACCGAGGCCAACATTATTTATGGTACACCCGTTACATCAGAAACGTTTCTAAGCTTATAACTTTCTTACTGTATGAGCTAGCGGGTCGATCAATAGTCATTTTGTAGAGCGTGTTTTACTGCATCTTTTCTTCATAGAAACAAATTTATAACCACTTGTTCCACTATAGTGATTATATATAAAAGAAATTATTATTCAAATTGGGTCAGGACTTCTGGGCCAAAAACACTAAGAAAGAAATATTTTCGAACTTACAAACTAAAGATAAAGTGTAAATTTTCGATAGTTTTTTTAAATTTTGAATCCCAAAATTTGTTTTTTAAACACTAAGATACACATATTCTTACTTAGCTCGGCGAGCTCTATCCAACCATGAATAAAAGTCGAAAAAATAAATTTTGCTTAAGTTTTGAATTTCCGGTGTCTTAATAATGTGCTTAGCTCAATACTGATTTTTTGACAAAAATTTCGTATTTCTGGAAGACGGGATCTTAATAAAGATAACTGATTTTTTTATGAGTCACTTTTGATAGATTTAGACCGATCAGTCGCGTAAAGTATCTATGCAGAGTGTATTCTTCTATCTGTCACGAACACTTGCTACTGAAAAGATGACTTTTAAATTCCATTTCTTCAAGGGGATCCAGTAATCTCGATTTTTAGATGGTTAAATACACTTTTATTACTATGTTATAAAAATTAAATAAAAATTAATCAAATTGAGCCGTTTTACTAACTCCTTGATTCTTGTCAAAATTTTCAAGTTCACCTGCACAGGCTAGGTGAAGTTCAGATGTCCTGTCTCTGCTTTGCAGGATATGAAATGGACGGTCGTATTCATTCTTCAGTCAGTTAAGAGAGAATTGAATAGAGGCGATAATTTTGTTAACGTCATTTAAGTTGTTTTGATGATGGCATTATTCATTTCTGTTTTTCTTTTCTGTCATCAGTACTCAGCAGAAACGACACTTGTGGTTTGAATCGTGACATAGCAAAAAGAGGAAACCGTTGTGATACATTCGATCAATAGTGCTCATATTTTCATTAATAATTCTATTGTTTTCGTTAATTTGATCTGATAATGTGGGTTTTTTTTCTTTGTGTAACAATTTCGTTTAGATTAATCATAGCCAATTTTAAAACATGCTCAGATACTTAGCAGCATGACTTATCAAACCGATTGCTCAGCACTTGTGACAACTTTGAATGTTTGAACAAGGGCCAGATGACAGCCGTAATTTTCGTGCAAAGGCATTGATTTTATTTCTCATCGACAGTTATTTATGAATTAAAAAATACTATGTATTGGCTCTGCTGTACTTGAAAATTTTGTCATTCTTTCAGTTCATGTTTGTTTTACATCTAATATGCATCTGTCTTATTTAATCAAGAAAAAAAATCAAATAGTTAAATGAGTAATCATATAAAATGAAATAGAAGAAAAGAAATGTGTAATGGCAATAAAACTAAACAACTCTAGATTTTTCCTACACATAAGTGGAACAAAGTCACACACCTGGTCAAAGTCAGCTTACTCGAAAACACGTTTTGCAGGGCGTGCATATATTTTGAAATATTCATCACTATACTATTAATGATTAGTTAATTATTCATTGAAATGAACCACTTATATAAATATTACAGAAATGTCGGTATGCTATCGAAAATATCAATATCAGAAGGTAATATAAATCATTTTCTATTAGAGTTTCATTTCGGTACCTAGAAATATAAAAATAGCCTATTCTTATTTTAAATTTAGTGTTTTACAAATCATGAATGTCACATTTTTGAATACATCACGTGACAATCCACTCTTAGTATATCAAGGTTATTCATATATTCAAGATGGATCATATAAAAATAAGACATATTGGAAATGTGAACATTCTCGAGATCCTAATAATAAATGTCATGCACGAATACACACAGATTTAATAACTAATAAAGTAATATTTGTTAGTTCACACAAACATCATCATAGTAGTAATGAAATGAAATTAGAAATACGACAAGTTTACAATGATGTAAAACAGCAGGCAATAGGTAACAATCAAGAAATAGACGATTTAATATCGAATTCTATTGCAAAAATGTCAATTGAAGCAAGAAAACGATTACCAAAAGTTAAAAATATTAAAAGACTTGTCGATTATCATCGAACAAAGAAATTAAGAAAAAATTCAAAACAAATTGATATTTCGTGTAGCTTAACAAAAACATTAAAACAAGAAAAATTTTTGTATTACGATTCTGGAATAGAATCAGAAAATCGTGTAATCATATTGACGATGAAAGATAAGTTGACTTTATTAACAGATTCTTTAGATTTTCACATTGATAGTAACGAATTGAATATATCCAATTTATTTTCAATATTTCATGTATTTTACGTTAATTATCAAGGTAAATTTATTCCAGTTTTATTTGCACTATTAGAAAATAAATCATGTTATGATTTATTATTTAAACAAATATTATTGTTAATACCAAACTGGAATCCGTTGCTCTTTCTATCAGATTACGACATAATGTTGATAGATAGCGTTAAAAGGCTATTTTCTGGAATTAGAGTCACCGGTTCATATTATCACTATCGAAAATATGTTTTAGAAAAGTTAAATATTGATTCTGAATATGCCATTAATAGGTTTGTATCATTAGCTTTTGTGTCAGTGAAACAAGTAGATGAAAGTTTTAAACAATTGAAAAATGAATTAGAATATGATGAATTTATTAATTCTTTTCAACAAACATTTATTGATCAATTAGCTCCATTTCCCATTGAATTCTGGAATATTCATGATACTCGTGTAGATAGTCTGAAAATGGCAAAAGATATTGAATATTGGCACAGTTATTTTCAAAATGGGTTGGATGTTAATACTTCCTTGAATCTTCATAAGTTTCTTCGCAAATTAGAAATATTGGAATATATACAAACTGAAACACGTTTGAATACGACTGCACCCGCAAGCGATCTAAACGAAATTGTACACAATGTACAGCTCCTAGAGGAAAAATGATTTGTATTAATGCAGAGCGTAATATTGTTACATGTTTTATCGTTTCATCTTCTTTTAAAATCTTTTTTACTTTTAAAGGAAAATTTTAGTTCTTAATATTGAATGATTATGTGATCTAACATAACATTTTGTGCAAGATATCAGATAAAATGAAATTAATAAATTCTTACACTTACTTGATTTCCATTTGATGCTGTTGAGACTATATTGGAGAACTGAAACATCAACTCGAGAACGTCTTTTGGACACACATTTCCTTTATTCATTGTAAAACATGAGAATCATAATCTGTGTTTTAATTACGTGAAATCATAAAGACGTAAAACTGTAACGTTGACTTTTGTTAGTTAGAAGGACAATTCACAATTCCGTCTAGGCGCATCATTTTGATCTCAAATTCGCACCAAAACTCTACAGTGTCTGTAGATTATCCAGCCAAAGTTTGAAGGTTAACTATTGTGTGATTCTAGAAATTCATTTTGAACAAGCACCCATGATTGAAACATACGTAGAAGAGTGAGAGTGATGAACTAAGGATCACTCTTTCTACTATAGTATTTGCATTGAATGTACATTATAATCATGAAAAAATAATCATGGAACCCTATGATTCCGAAAACGTAGGTGAAACTTTTGTCAGAAAGATAACACACTTACGTCTAACCTTCACTATTTCACTTATTTTACATCCTTTTCACTCCCGACATATATAACGGTGCATGATGTTGACACTATAATGAGAAAGAGAGAGGAGTCTTTTAAATCGAGTCTAAATGATATTATAATAATGGTAATATGTGCAAAAATTCAGCCCGTATATATACGGGCTCCGGCACAAAAGGGTTAATGGTTTTGATACATAAGTCATTCAGACACTAGATGTAGTCATTTAAATAGCACTATAATCCTAATTTCATTTTTTCTTGTTTAACAAACACATTCTTCTTTCTCAAAATACTATGAACGTTGGAATTTTATAATTAGTTCAAATGATAGAATTAGCTGGTCACATCCTATATTACAGTTTTTGTCCAATTAAACCTCCGTGCCGATTCCAGCAGTTTTCCTGATCAGTTCTGACATCTGACAAAAATTCTCTTTAGGCATGAAACTTGCTCGACCGTTACCATTATAATTAATCTGATCATGACTATACTTGGCAAACAGTGTGCTGAAAAAGGCCGATACTAATAAGTACTTGACAAAGTCTTTTTTTTTTGACTGGGATATCTTCTAGTTTAAATTGGTTCACTTTATGCTTCTTTCTTTGAAATTATTCATTCACAAAAGTTAATTTCTACTGTAACATGAGCATAACAGGATGTTTCAATTTGACAAAAATACCTTTATGTCTAGAAAAAGGTGGTGCAATGTGATGCATAAAAGTTTCGCGAATACAGAACAGAATAAGTGTACAAAGGTAACGGACTCAGTAGTAATGATCCTACACTTTGATATTATACAATTTCGTGTCATTAGAAATCGGTTCTTAGTCAAAAATATTCAACAGGTAATGTCCAACCTCCATACTGAGACTTAGAGTTTCAGAACTGACGGTAGTAGAAAAAGCAGCAGAAAGCTATTAGGCAAATTTGCGAGCCACACTTTCCAAAACTGCTGGAATTGAACCAACAGGAAGTGATGTGTTTTGATAACCGTACACAACTTGAGACTAGAGGAGTGAGAGAATTAAATAAGAACATACTACTAGTATCAGATCATACTGTTTCTCATCCCGATGAATATCGTAATGTTCAAAGGACACCGTCGGTTTTTTTTGTACAAGTTTGACTAAGAGAGAACTAACCCTATGGCTAACTGTGGTATTATTTGGCACATCTACTACTATTTTTTTAAAATTACTTTTCATTGGAGAGAAAATTAGCATTTTCTTAGTAAGATTTGAATGTGGCATGGATCGGAAATAAAAAGTGTACAACTCGATACCATAATAGATTTTCTCAACACTTGTTTATGCGCTATCCATTTCTCCCAATGATTATTTTCGCGATACTATTAACAAGGAAAAGGATTCATTATCATCTCCTTCCTCTCCTTTATCCGCATCATCATCATCAAAAGAATGATTAAAAGCCGGTGCAATACCTCTGATCCTCAACTCAGGTGATATTTCTGTACAAACAAGTCCTTCGTGTCAAGATGCTGTTGCTTAAAGTATCCTTTGTGTCAAGGTGCTGTTGTTTAAACTGTCAAAAAATAATAGAAATAATTTGACAGTTAAGCATCGCCATACAGCCTATATTCACCATAGTCTGTATTGAAAAATTCAAAGCGATCTGCAATATGTCAGTTACTAACGTATATGTGTTTCTCAATGGCATATGACTTTTGAGAGCTCAATTTTATTGAGATTTCGAATATTATTCTGGACTTGCCAAAACAAATTCAATTAGTTATCCGACAAAGTTAACTAGTAGCGTTCATTGTCGATTCACTGACCCTTGATTGAAGGTGCTTTTTAAATCGTGGTTTGGTTTTGATACGCGATTTGGTTTTTAAAGCAAAAGTGGAACCGCAACTATTGTGTTTTTTCTTTATTTATGTGTAAGATTATGTTAGATTCAATGAAATCTGACTTCCAAAGATTTGACCGTTAACACGCATATCATAAAAGTGTAAGAACAGCAGAATTAAAGTCACCTTTTTAAATATATTTGTGCAGCACTTTATTTATTCGAGACGTTTCGTTGTATAACGGATGGCGCAGAATAAAATGGCCACTTTTGTTCTTCGTTTTCGAGGCATGTCGGAGTAGTCCAAAGTGTTGGTTCTAGGCTTTTTCAATAGAGAACTGAATTCGCTACAAACTTATTATTTCAATCTCTGATAACATTTTTCTCATTTGAGCATTATTCAAAATATGAAATGGTGCTGAGTTGCCGAACTGCGACATGCTTTTGTCGTCTTCTTTTTTGAGATTTTTAACCCATCGTCTGAGGTTCAATAGTTAATTTTTCCACGTACAAAGATAGAGAATTTTATGCTCTATCGATGCCACTCATTTACAAATTCATACCGTGTTTTTGCTACGTCAGCTGAGCTCACAATTACTTCTCAACTGGCTTGTCAATTTTTTCAAATCAAATTAATTTTTTTAATTAACGGTTTCAATTGAGAAACTTTATTTATATATGAAAAGACGCAGAATTTAATTCTGTGTGAGGTAATGCGACTAAAACCTTGAATTTAGAACGTTTTACTGCTTTTATAGCCCAAAAACTAAAGTCTGTTAGAAATAGGTTCAAAAGTTAGCTTTTTAAAGAGTTATCATTTAACTGCAAAATTTCGAACAATATATGAGAAGATGCAGAATTTTCCGGTGAATCTCCTGATATCTTCGAAATTCTCATGGAATCTCTTAAGGTAAATGTTTTTCTGTTTTCAGTGTGTTGCAGTTTGACAACTCAGCATTCCTCAATATTTTATGGTGTTAATGGTGATCAAACGAGAAAAATGTTCTCGGAGATTCAAATAGCTGGTCTTGTAGAGAATTCAATTCTCTATTGATTGAGCCTAGAACCAATTCTTTGGACTACTGCGAAGTGTCTCGAAAATCAAGAACAAAAGTGGCCATTTTATTCTGCGCCACCTGCTACTATAGAACTTCATCAATAAAATAATCAGTGTGTATAAACATCAGTAGAAATAAAACAGAAAGAAGATACAGAAAACGTGGGAAGAACGGAGAAAACATCTCTATTTCGACTAAAGAATGATGATAAATCATTGTGAAAAATGCTAACTATCGAGTGTCCCAGGTAAAATAGCCCTTTTTTGTTTTTGCGATAACTCCATCATTTTTTGTGCAATCTGCTCAAACTTGTTTTTAAACGATGCGCCATTTAATTCTCTACAAAAACATGTATCACCAATTTCCTCAGAGTAGAAATTCTTAGAGTTATAACAGAAAAGGTGAGGACGTGTAAAAGTGTCAACTTTCTAAGCCAAAGTTTCCGCACTTTCTTTGGCATTTTCGGCAAGTGAAACCATACTGACTGCTTTAATTTATGTTTGTTTCTAGTACTTTAAAGTATGCTCTTTCTAATGCCCTACAAGTAACGTTTGTTGTCCACTTAGCTGGCTCAAAAAGTCAAGATTTTTTGCAAGTACCCAAAAATTCGCCTTTTTTTTACGACCTGTGTCAAATAGAGTAGACATGCGGTGTGCCAAATTATCAAAAGCCATTTCATCGAGCAAGTGCGACTACAGGCTACAAAATGAAAAAAACATTATCGGAAAAAGATGAGTTTTGGCTAAGTTATGAGAATTTTCCTGGAAGAGATAAAAAGATGATTGCAAAATGGTGTATTTCTGAGAAAACAGAAAAATCTCTTCTCGCCGATGCGGACTTTGGAAAATTTTTGGAAGTGACTATCTGATAGAACTTTGTGCGGTCTTTCGAATGGTCGTCTCGGTTTTTGGACTCTGCGGAAGATTTTTGAGAAAAATCATTTTTTGCCTTAGAAAGTTGGAACTTTTACACGGTTTTCTGTACTATCAACATCAGTTCTTCTATCCAGTGGACTGTGAATAAAAAATTATCTAATACTCTATTAGAGTTTCTGGTTCGTTACTCAATTCCATTCAAACGTTGTAAACAACGACTATTACGAGTGCATGGCATGCTCCGATTTTTAGGAAATACAAAAGAAGTTGCCCCATGATTGCGTAGTAACTATCTCTCACTTACTGTATTATCATATTCCTATCGTTCCAAATGCGCAGGCATTCTCTGTCCATGTATATATTTCCACTTCATCTTAGGTTAGGTAGAGTCAGATTATGCAGAAATTGTAATTCTTATTCTCACAATATATATACACATCTGAGTGAGTTACAATGGCATTGGACCGTTGCTGTTCACCGATTGTTTTGCTTACAAAAGTCGTTCTACGGAACAAAACTTAATATTTTTTTGTTAAAAGATGGTTATTCAGTACTGAAAAAAAAGTTTCTACCTCATTTGGTTGTCGAGATATGAATGAAACAAGGCGAAAACAGAGCGATTTTCTAAATTCTATTGTTCATGTTCTAAACTCCATCGTTCTACAGTTTACCAAAAAAAATAGAGATGGAACTGGATTTCCACATAACTTGACCTGACCTAACCCAGGATGAAGTGGAAATAGATAGACAGATATAGATGCGTGAGTAGCACTGGCATTGTACTGTTTCGAAAAACACCCCGAAAAAAGCAATTTGTGAATAAAAAAACGACGTTTATTTTAGTATTCTTCGTCGTGGGCTATTCTCACAGGAAGAATTACAATTTCTGCATAACATGACTTGACCTAATCTAGGATGAAATGGAAGTAGATAGACAGATATAGATGAGTGAGTTGCATTAGGGCGAACTGCCTCAAATCTTGACGGAGGGATGAACGGCAGTATGCTGGTCATTATAAGAGGTTATAATGATGCACATTATGAAAGAACTGTTTTACTGTTATGCTATAATTATTAATTGAAAATTAATTAAAAATACATGCGGTGTTCATAACATCCTTTATATATTTAGAGCTTTTCACAAAAGTGACATGAAACAGACTCCTGAAATAAGTTCTTGTATCGATCGCGTATAATTTTTGAGTTATTTTGCACGGTTAGCAATACAGAATAATGTTTAAGTAACGGTGACCTATCGCTTTTGTGATATTTATGCTCGTATCTAAAACACAAAGCTAAAATGGTTTAGATAAAAAATTGAGCATTTTTTAACATCATTTAACTTTTCTGAAGTTCGATGGTCGTGTTTGATCGGCTTTCACTGACAATACATGAGGTAATTCCACCAGAAATCTCCCGCATATGTTGCCTAATACTCTCAAACGCGCCTACTCTACCTTTATTCATCATATCTATATACGCATGAAGCTGAACAGTGCTTAAGTAGAGTCAGTCCAAACAAAGCAACAAGTGAAGACATTATCTTAAGAATAGTACGGGAAACAACTGCAGTTATTCACACACATTTGTAATTTCTCTCTGTCAAATGGTACTTTTCCTGAGAAATGGAAGATGGAAATCATACAGTCCGCTTTTTAAAGACGGTGATAATAGTTTGTCAAAACAATTATATACCAAATAGTTTGCTCCCGGCAATGTCAAAAGTTATAGAGCGCTTAGTATTCCATAAGGTGTACGAACATGTCAAAAAAAATAAGTTATTAACTACTTTTCAGTCTGGCTTTATCTGGGGCGACTCAACAGTAAAACAACTAGTTGATTTAGTACATGAGATAAGTCAAAACTTAGACAATGGCAATCTCACACTTGCTGTTTTCCTCGACTACTCAAAAGCCTTTGACAAGGTGTGGCACCCTGGATTACTCTATAAGTTTCAGTAAAACGGGAGTGTCAGATGCATTATTAAAGTTGTTTTCAAGCAACTTAACAAATAGGCAGTGTGTAACGCTTGTGAATTGACAAAGATGTACAGCTTCGACAATAAATAGAGGAGTTCCCAAAGGATCCATTATTGGGCCTCCTCTGTTCCTTCTGTTTGAAGATGACATACTTTCAAACGTGCAGTCCAAAATAAGACTATTCACAGATAGGGCTGGCACTTTACTAGTTACTCGGCGTTACTTTACCAAGTAAAGTAACGAAGTTAGCTACTTCGTTACGTAGTTACTAGTAATGAGTAAGTGATTTTTTTACTTCGTTACTTTCGTTACTCCTCCAGAAAGTAACGAAAAATCGTTAGTTTCTAGAGAAGTAACGAACTTAGTTACTCGTTACTGGCAGGGCTGGGCAACTCCAACTCCGGAGTTGAGGATATTTTTGGTGGAGTTGGAGTTGAGTTTTTGAATTTTTACTGTGGACTTCGTTTTGCATTTTTGGAAATATTCAATAGTTGTAAACTAATCTTCTAAACGATTGAGTGGCTGTATTCAAAAGTGAATTCGGTAGTTCTTTGCGCTTTCCTGCCGGAAAAAGCTCAAAAACGTCCAAAATCCTGCTAAAAATCGAAACGTGTCCTTACAGTGGAGTTGGAAATTTGAAAACGGAGTTGAGTTGGAGTGCAGTTGAAAGTCAGCGGAGTTGCTTAGCCCTGGTTACTGGTAACGAAATAACTAGATTAGTTACTTCTTTACTAGTAATGAGAAGTTTCGCCAAAAGGTCTTCTAATAGCGGACGGACTTGAAGTACGTGAAGTTACCGTTGGACTATTACTATTACTATTAATTCAGTTAGAATCGGATATCGAAAAAATCTAAAATATTTTTGTTCACTATCGCATGCACAACGCACTTTTTCGATTACGTTTTCTGAACAAATATAGCAATAAGATTGTCATCAGAATCTCCATACATTACATTCGACGTTTCATAATGCTTTGTCTTTACACACACTTGTAATAGTCCAACGGTAACTTCACGTACTTCAAGTCCGTCCGCTATTAGAAGTACGTTTTGGCGAAACTTTATTGAAAATTCCCGTATAGCATAAAAACAAGTACAAAAATCCAAAAATTGAAGTAATCAAATTTATTCATTTGAAATGTTGTTCGAAACGGAAATACAAAAAAATAATCCTTCGTTAGAATGTGTGTTTTAAGTATGTTTGAAAATTACAAACTTTTCCAGCTCAGCATTATCCTGAGTTACCTTGACAGTATCGTATGCCTCGACCCGTAAGTGAAGATATGGTAAAAACTGTATTACGTTCCTAGAACCATTGCATGTCTTGTCCACCCTTATCGGCACTACTGAACTGAAACCATGTCACAATTTCGCCAGCTTTATAATCCTGCAGATCTTTCTCGGTCAACTGTATATATCGTACCACCTCACCCCAGTAGAAATCGATATGTGAGAGGCCTTTAATAAGATAATACATAATCATAGCTGCTCTACCATCAACTTTAGCTTCGTCCGAATAGAATTGCTTCTGTTTGGTTAATCGCCGAATGGCGAAATCCGCTTCCATACTCATCGCCCGACTGTATGCACCTGTATAGAATGCGATCGCAAAACCATACGCTTTTGCATCATCTTCGGAAATCCCTCGGTCCATGAAATATGTATAGGTTGAATTACTCTTTTTAATGTGCACTGCGATATCGTCTGTGTCGTCGTATGTACTGCAAGCTGCCACTAGATTTCGAAACGATGGTGTTTTACCATCTTTCATCAGTTTTTCCAGTGTCGGTCCGAAGTCGTCTTCAATCAAAGCAAACTCTTCACGTTTCTCCATCAGTTGATTGACGTTCTGGTAGAGGATGGCGTGTTCAAGATACCGTTCGACAATTTCCAAATTATAGCTTCTCGAAAACGGCAATCTTTCGAAATTAGGTATCTTACCGACCGAATGCAAGTACATAGCATGTTGAAGTCTTTTTTGTTTATTTCCGAAATCATCTTTAACTTCTTGAACATTTTCGATCACGCTCATGTGGCTATGACGGCCGTATAAACGCTTTGCTTCATCTTCTGATAGCATATATGTCTTTTTTCCTGGGCAGGGAAAGTGGGACACCATTGCTGAAAATTTTCTTCTAAAAGAATACGTATTGATCAATCTTTAGTTGCGTAGTGGCGATAGTTTAGTGTGACTATATAACTTTATATGTGTCTGTGTATATAGACGCATGTAACAGTGCATGAATCGCAATATACATAAGAATAGCCCAGACATATCTGTCCTTTTGTCCGGAACGCTCCCAAGACACTAAACAGCGCCAATGTATTGGGTAAAACCCAAAACACAAACGACTCAGAGGGTTGCCAAGAGGGTTGACCAGAGGGCAACCAAGGGTGGGGAATCCGAATCCAATATCAGAAATGAGTTACGAGTTATTATTTATTATTAGTTAATAAATCAGTTATTGAAAAATGAACGAAACGCTGGGCGTCCGTGGTTTTCCACGGGTTATTTCTAGTGTCTGTATATTTGGCTGAGTGTATGTGGTTACCAATATGGGTTTAGCTTGTGAGTGGTAGCGGCAGTCAGAAGCTGAAAGTGATGTAGTATCGGTTTGCAAATTAATTCTTGTTGTATTAAGAAAAATGGTAAGGAGTTACTTGGATTTCTACAGTTCTCTGTGTTAAACATTCATTTTGTCAAAGTCTCTGAGGAAACTAGATTTTGACAGTATAGATCCTCCCTTGTATTTCATGACTCTAATTGGTTCAATGTTATCTGATCAACAAGCACACGTCTGACAAAATGAACAGACATTGGCCAGACTACGAGTGAGTTCACATGTTTGAGGACTGGTTTTGAAAAAGAAATAGTTAACGCAATGCTTCAGATTATAGCCAACTTGAAATATGTGACAGCAGTAAGTGTTTCATAAACCTTTTATTTCAACAGAAACCATTTTTAAAAATACTGAAGTGTGAAATTTTGCCGCAAATTTCGGGATTGTCTTTTTGACAGCTTATGGAATCTTTCTGGATTGTTCAGCAAACGATGTTACTCATTTTCTGATCAAACGGGACAGATTGCGCTGGAAAAGGGATACAGCCGATGATAGGATCAAAAACACACTTAGAACCGAAGAGCACACTCTAAAAAATAGGTAGTTTACCGAACCCTGCAAAACTGTTCTCCGAGACGCACAGAATCTAAAAAACGGATTTTCAGATTTACGAAACCTTTAAAGGATCTCCCCTCAGAAATTAGATTTTAAAAGAGGGGTAAAAAGTTATAGGAACCACTCTTAGATAGCTATCTTCTCGCTATAATTTCTCAAGGGCTATCAATAGCTCTTGAGAATCTTCCTTAAATAGCCCGTGAAACGTTATAGGAAATTATTTGAATTATATGTTAATACAAATATTAATGGCCCTAGTCGTTGCGGTTGTGCCGCTTGATTAGTTGTAGCAGATGATGCATTGTCATAACTTTTTCGAATAGCATTAGAAAGAAGAGAAGAAGGATAACCGCGTGCTAGAAGATATTCTTTCAGTTCATTCGTTATCGTATGAAAAAATATTTTGGGTTAAAATAAAAATAAGTCTGTCTAGGACAAATTGAGCAGAAACACGAGAATTTAAAACATCGGGATAAATTCTCGTTTTTCTGCTCAATTTGTCCTAGACAGTCTCATTTTTATTTTAACCGAAAATATTTTCTCAGATGATAACGAATCATATGCACAAATTAGAGGAGTGACTATCGGCCCGACGACAGGTCCCTCTTTTGCAACCTTATATGTTCGCTATCGCGAACATATACTGTTTTTAAGGCTTCAGTTTGTTTCCACCGGTCAGATTTTTCGATTTTTAGAACAAAATTGGAAGCGCTATTTGGACGACTGTTTTTTACCATGGCCGTTTGACACAGCAATGGCAGAATTCCTACATTTCAGACATTCTACAGAACTCTATAGAATTCTACATTTTCCCTTTGAAGTCTACAACAACTTTTTCACAACTGAAACATGATAAGTTCGACTTATTCTCAAAAGAAAAATCTAGGAAATGCATAGAATTCTATACAATTCTACTTTACTACACACATACAATATATTAGCCAAAAAGGCCTGACAATGCATCATTTGATACAACTAATCGAGCGGCACAATCGCAAAGACTAGCGCCATTAATATTTGTATCCATATATAATCCAAATAATTTAGATTTATTCCCGTTTATTCGATCGTTATTACCACAAGTACTTTGATCTAGTCAGAAACCGCACACAACACATAATCATCGTCTGATACATGCTAGACGACAACCACCAAACTTGCGATCATTACTGACCTCAACCAATTTTTATTCTAATACTCCAGTAGCACCAATTATTTCAAAATGTAATGCATCAAGATACTTCTTAGGTAATAGACTAAAATTTCTTCTTACATCATCAATGAACATGATCAAAAATTAGAATGCAATGCAAACATGAATTGTAATACCAAATATTTGATCTATGTAATACAATGTCCATGTTGTTCACAAATATATATTGGCGAATCTGTAGATTTGAGAGCAAGAATGCATAATCATAAACATTCTGTTCTACATTTACCTCACGATGCTCAAAACGTTCACAGACATATAGCTGGCTGTTCTGAATTCAGCGTCTTTCCCGTTTTAAAGATGAACACACAAGATCTGTTCATCAGAAAGTTGAAAGAAAAGGAATTCAGAGGAAAATATCGTCCATCATTAAATCCAGACGATGAAGATTAATTGACATTTCCATGACTACTATTTCAAAAATCAAAACTCAACTAAAACGAAAAACATTTCACTGTTTCGAAAAAGTTTTTCTAAAAGTTTTAAATTATTTTATCGACTGAAGTGAGCACCATAGTGTGTCTCGAAACGCGTATCGTACTTTCTATAATTTGGTTATATATTTGAATAAATGTTTTTTCTTCTTCTCTGTTAGATATTTTTTTAAATATTAGTATACTCTACCCACACACTGATTTAAAAATATTTTTTCTCAAGAAAAGTTGCAAGGATCACCGCTAGATAGCTCTTGAAAACTTACAAGAATCATCCTTAGATAGTCCCTGAAAAGTTATAGGAACCACTCCTATATGAGCCATGCATGGTTGTAGTTTACTGTACTTCACTCGTACTTCAAAGTTGTTGTGAAGTAGATGGAGTCTCGCTTTTCCCCATTGATACCCACGGATGAGCCGAAACTTTAGTAAAATGTTCATAACTCTTGACCAATAGGCTATGGGCCCGAATTCGTTTAGAATTTTCTTAATCTTACTGAGTCCTACGCACAGTCAAAATGTAGGATCGAACGGCGTCCAACAGTCGGGTATGAGTAGAGATGATCGGGTAGGAACCAAACTTGGAATCGATTGGGTTCGAAAATTTTGGACTTCACGATCTCTAATACTGGATTCATATGTGATAAAAGATGGCTCAGAGTGGTTATTTGTTGGTAGTACCAGCTATATAAACTACGCCATACTGAAATTTAGTATTTATATACAAAATATTACTGAGGGTGGCTGTATAATCACCAACCATTCCCATTTTTTTGTCTTTGGGACGTACAAAATCAAACTCAATTCAAATATCGATCAAAAAAAAAATATATATCATACATCGTTTCCGCTAGCACATCTGTCGAATTCCTGGGATCTGAGAACCTATGGCGATGTAACTTTGTCATGTTTGAGTCGATAATCAATAAGTTAGCTAAAAATGACCTTGCCGTTTGTCCTTCCGTTTAGACAAAAGGCGTTTTTTTCGGTAGGGAAAAAACATTTTCAAAAAAATCTCTACATACTTTTAAAGCTTATCACTTGGGCTATCCAACGGTGTGTAAATGGAGGACCTACTCCTTAACCCAAAAAACTAGATAGGTTTGCAAGTTCAAGGTATCGACCGCTGAGCCTAATCAGTTTTGAGCTCTGCCAAAATTTTAGTTTGCAGATTTAGGACTTTGAAATGCCTTTACTAGATGCAGTTTTCAACGGGAATTAAAAATATATTTGTTTGAAAGTTCTAGTTTGCTTCACGAAAAAATTGTAGAACATTTTCTGAAAAAGAAGGATTTTTGGCTTTTTCGACCTCGTCTCAGTGTATCACATTTTTCTGTGTGAAGATTTAATTTTTTCGAGCTAAAAAGGTGATATTCGTGATCAGCTCGACCTGGCGATTCAGAATATGTATAATAGAGTAAAAAAAAATTCCACCGTAAGTTTGCCTTATGAGCACCTTACTGAAATTATTGTCCTTAAGACGCAAAATGTTTAGAAGGAGAAAAATTTAACATAACAGTCTTATGTGGTTTCAAACTGAAGAACAAATTTGATTGCATTTTCTTTTGCATATGTTGATAACAAATGTTCGTATCGCGATGCGACACGACTATTGGTTACTACAAATGAAAATTGTTTTAAATTTGAGCACGATTCTAATACATGTTTAATCGAAGACAGATCTGTGTACGAACAGTCGTAAATTTTTAAATATTTTATTGTTGGTATTGGTCGAGTAAAATATGGTAAACAGCCATTAAATATTAACGAATATAAGTTTGTGAATTCATCGAGTAGATATGCTTGATAGAATATATGAGAATCAATAAAACTCCAATTAGAGAATTTGAGTGAGACAAGACGATGTTTAATATTGGGTAGAATGCGTGCATAATACGATTGAAAGTTGAGTGATGTAATATGGGCATGCATGCGCGGTTTGCTCTCAATTATTATGTCAAATCGTTGATTTAAAGCGGTAAAACTGTAAAAAATTTCATCATAGTAAAGGTAATCAAATATCTCATAGAACAGTTCATTTGATGCGTCCTCAAAGCAAGACGATAACATATCCAAAACAAGATGGGTAGCTGCTTTATGACAAATACTAAAGGTTTTATTAAATAATAATGATTAAACTGATAATGTGATAGTAGAGTACCGTTTTATTGACTGTTTAAAAAGAAAAAGTTATTTTAAAACAGCCTGGCAAATGTAACGAAAGGTAGGGATGAATAAAGAATAGATTGCAAAAGCAACTACGCAGGTGTGCATAGAACGATAAATTTCTATATTGATGTGGAAGGTGTACAGCGACATGACGACGAAAAGGTAAAAAATAAAATAAAAAACGTGCAGGAATTTATTACTATTCATTACATATGTCTGTAATACAAAAAAAGATTACTACATATATACATATATACCATTTCACAAGCAAATGCCATAGAACTGTTTTAAGTCGATCAGTTTTTATCAGTACGTTTCTTCGTTCAGTATCAAGTCAGGTTTGCTTAATCTGTTAAACTGTTGTAGACCTTTAAGTGGTAACTAATATGCTGCAATATTTAAAACACTTCACATTTTTATAACTGGTTGTATTCAATATTCAAACGCATCGATATGTTTCTTTCCTCTTATTTAAATGTGGAAGAAGCAATAACAACAGCAGTTAAACGACTTTCATCTGCTCGTTTTTATTCATCTATCAGATTCAGTCCGGAGTGTTCAAACTTCTCGATAATAATGGACAAGAATAATCAACCTATGCCGATAATTGGAGGCCTGTAATTTGGCCAAGATCTTCTGAATACCTACATAAATCAGACATTAGCAAAACTCGCCGTAAAATTTTGAATATCTGACTCTGTGAATGAAACTATGTAAATTTCATTCGTTGCACTGTGATTATTCATTGTTTCTCTGTTTTTATTCTTATTACTTTTGTCATATAATGTTATGATTATACAAAGAAAGGTTCTAGAAAACTGTAACTTTGTATGAAACGCGTTGTATAACCGTATGTAAAATCAGAACAAAATCAAACACTTACGTAACATACACACACCGTCAGAAACCCACTCACTTAGAATAAAGTCAAACAGAGAAGAAGCAAAAGGGATGTAAACATAAGGTAATGATACTAATAAAGTAGAAAAACGAAAACTTTAAAATAGATGACCCGATGACTGAACAAATGACAGTAGAGGTCAGCATTCTTTACACAGTCTATCAGAAAAAAAATGATTCTGCTGTTTTTGACCGAGGGCATGGAATAACTGCAAAACTGTATCGGACATCTTCTCAGAGTCACGTATCTCCAGTGGACTGACTAACTCATGAGTACCAAGGACCATATGATGACTCATTATTCTAATAGTTCACTAGTCTAAAATATTTTCATTGTGAACTTTAAGGCAGGTAAGTGTATTTTTACATGATATATGTAAAACGTGCAACAAGAGCTGCAAAAATAAAATTGAGTTCACAGCGTACGTATACTCTTTTTAAGTAACGGGTATTCCAGAATAAATCGGTCACTTAGTATTTTGCTTGTATCTCAGTTAGATTTTATCCCACGCGCCTATTATTTTTTTTAAAAGATGCGCCGTAAAATTCTCTACAAAATGGTATTTTTTATTCAACGTAAATAATCTCCATCATTTTGCAAAACACGATACATTCGTTTACTAAAATCTTCTACACTTTGCACAACAACTTCCGCTCTAATTTTTTTCACTGCTCGTTTTAATTCGTCAATCAACGTTAGTTTTGTTTTGACTTTACTCCAATTGATTGCCTGAACGAATTCATTTCATAAACAATAATCTAAAGGATTGAAATCCGGACTGTTAGTAGGCCAACGCCCGCGTGGAATAAATGATGGTAAATTTATCGCGACACCATTGTTGAGTTTCACTGTCTTTATGGGCCGGTGCATTGTCCTGTTGAAGTATCCGATCATTACCCATCATCTCGTCACCACATTTCTTGGCCACAAGAAGAACTCGTTCGATATATTTTACATGATCAACCGAACCTTTATCCAAGATCACCAATGTTGTCATACCTTTTGAGCATGCTCCGAGCCAAACTATTACTTTTGTTGGAAACTGATTTTTTTTCTTCACACCACCTCATTTATCAGCCTCTGTACGATTTATGGCCCATATTTGATCATTTTGCGAATTATAAACACCATCGACATCGAAATACTTTTCGTCCGAAAACAATATTTTTCTCGTGTCCTCTTTTCTGAACGTCCGTTGAATCCATGTAGCAAATTTTTTCCTGTTGACTTTCTGCTGATCTGTTATGGCTGGTTCTTTGACAAATTTGTAAGCATAACATCCGAGATCATCCGTTAATATTCGATGAGCACTGGTAGCTGATATGTTCAGTTCGCGCGCCAACTTCCGTACGGATACTCTCTTTTTACGAATTAACCGTTGTTTGACTTTTCTTATAGTTGTTTTGGAACTAGCGGTGCGTGGGGATCCTGGTGATTTTGATAAATGAATAGAGCCGGTTTCATTAATCATTTCTACCCATCTTTCAATTGTATCAAGTGATAAAGAGCCATTCAGATCACGAAAAAATTTTCGCGGATGATCACCGGGTTGATGTTTGCAAAGTACAACATTTCGAAGGTCTTTACTTTTCATTTTGTCAAGGATTTATCTAGAATACATTCAAAGCAAATAAAATACCATTTTGTAGAGAATTTTATGGCGCATCTTTTAAAAAAAATAATAAGCGTCTGGGATAAAATCTAGCAGATACAAGCAAAATACTAAGTGACCGATTTATTCTGGAACACCCGTCAAGACAACATAATTTTGCTAATAATCGATTACTCGACGATGATGGAATTAAACCAGTATCGCCAAAAGTGCTTCAGACCATAATAGAAAGGTGTGATATTAATTTGTCTCAATTGCTAATCCCAGGGATCAAGCCGCTCACTGTCAGTATCATGAGAAAGACGCAAGTGCAGTTATGGAACGACTGAACTGTGTTTAAGTAAAACACAATATGTCGTCAAACAGCTTGAAAATGTGATCATATACACTTTGTCTGTCGTATAGACGAAAGACAAGAAAAGAGTATTGAGACGTGACGATCTTACTGTGAGGTGAATATGGTTCATTGTCCATCAGTCGACCATTTAATTGATTTATGTTCTTGTCGGTTGCGTACGTCTATCTTACTGGCAAATCCGATCATGCAAAAATGATGTGTTCAGCTCTAACTCTAACTACTTATTTGGTCGACACAACTAATCAGTTATTTCAACATGAACTAGTGCTATAGACACCGTTCTAATATTAAATTTATTCCATCTAAAGAAATGAAAATATATATCTGTAGTTGAGTAAGGATGCGACTAGTTTAAGAAAGTTTACTTAGTAATTTATGCCAAACGAATCCATTATCGCTCAATTTTATACTGTGAAAAAACAAACAACTAATAATAAGACATTTAAGTCGGATCCCTTTTAGCGATCTTTTGAGGTCGGTCTGATATGTCTTTTGGAAAAGAGACATTAAAATAGTTTTTCTTCTGTAGAGAGTAACTCGTATTCGTTTATCAGCCGACTTCTTTAACAAAACATTCGTCAAGCAATACCAGTGGGTAACTCAGCATTTTAAGACCATCCATAAAGATGACTTCTTGTTCAAACGTCTTACACCTAATGTTCATGTACCTACCCATGGTCAGATTCAAGACCTAATGGAGACACCCATTATTTCAAGGACGTATAGATCACTTACTCTAAGTATGCACTGGTATCGGTATTCATACCGAAATATCAAAGTTCGATATATACCGATACCGAAAATACGCTGTCGCCGATCTGGTCTTCTGCTACATTGCATTGTAAGACTGTTACTAGTGACCGACACGTTCGGATGTTTTTCGATTTACTGCTTTTTCATAGCTGGTGACTAAAAGACTCCACGAGTTTTGTTACAGAAAGTCAATTTTTATCGATTTTTGTCAAATCGCTTTTGACCTAAAACTTAGTGGACAATGGGTAACCAAACATGCTGATTCCGAATATGATGATAGTTTTTGCCAATGCGTCTTTAAAGACCCCGGTTTTTGAAAAACTGGGGTTTTCAATGAAAAACTTTTCTGATCAAACATTTTTTTTATCCGTACAAATGAAAGCGCATGCTTTAAAACCTACGCAAAACTATTTTTTAAAGTTTTGGAACGGTTTTGAAAAGTTTTTAAAAGGTCAAAACTTAATACTACAGCCAAAAACAGCTTTTTACGTTCAAACTTTTAGTTTCGCACGCTTCCAAAAGCTTAAAAAATAGTTTTGCGTAGGTTTTAGAGCATGCGCTTTCATTTGTACGGATAAAAAAAATATTTGATCAAAAACGTTTTTCATTGCGAAAACCCAGTTTTTCAAAAACCAGAGTCTCTAAAGATGCATTGGCAAAACTATCATCATATTCGGAATCAGCATGCTCGGTTACCCATTGTCCACTACGTTTTACGTCAAACGATTTTACGATTTGACAGTCAGAGACCTTCCCTCGGTAGTGAGATGACTACCATTAAATTTCTCCTCGTAATATAAGACCAGATGGTATTTTCTTTTGTCTACCGACTCAAAACTTTGAGGATGATGTTCTGTTGTGATCTACTTTTTTCGCACCGTTCATCAATCATCATCATCGTCACTTTCATTAGATAACTTCATGCTGCCAATAACTGC